TGTTAGCCATTTTCCATTTGCATAAGTCCAACTGAGGACTTAATTGGAAGGTGGTGGGAATCCAGCAGTGAATCTAATTCCCTCCCTCCTCTATCCTTGCAGTGCTGCTTAAAAGGGCAAATTTTTTCTAATTGTCTTGAGGTAAATTTTCGTGCCTAGAATATTGAAGAGGAGGCTTGTCTGTGAAATTTAAGAATGTTTTTCAACATAAACGTGATAAACGTGAAAGCCTATGGTGTAACTTTATTTGTTTTTGCAGGGCCAGGCTCTCTCTCACCGGCCCTCGCTAATGGTTCGTGTTCAGGCTCGATGCTAAGCAATGGTTCACGTAGATTGTGTATGTATGTTTTGGGAAGGGAAAATCAAGACCAGGTGCCTGTGATGAAAGCCAAAAGGGACCCTTAGGTGTATCTTTCTGTAGAATTTCTTTAGATGTTCCTATACACAGTCACAAAATAGGATATTGGGCTACTATGCGTTTTTTGTGTGGAGTTTTTCAGTTTTCATGGTGGCCTGTATCAGGAGAAATTTCAATATGAATAGAGTCAGTTTGTGTAATTTCTTCCAAAGAAACGTTACAGTGGATTTGGAAGAATAGCTATATTGCATTAAAATGTCTCTGCTTTTAAAGAGCTAACATCCTTAAAATTGTAGACAGAACTATCTGAACACAATTTTAGAAAGAGGAAATTTGCCTTGGGCTTGGAGGTTATTGATCTCTGAAACCCATTTTCTTTTGGACTTGGCAGTAAGGCAGATAAAATGACCAGAATCTTTAAAGGACTCATTTCTTAAATAACTGTTCGTTTGTTGCCCATTGTCTCTGCACATGGGTCACAACAAGGTTTCGGCACCAGAAGTCAGCAGATGAAGTTTCTTCAGAGCTCAAATAATGCCTTTGGGATACTATGAACTTGCATCCTGTTCTCCAAAAGGATTGAAGGAAGGAAGAGAAGGACATAAATCATGAAAAATAGTACATTAAATTTTACTAGTTGCCCATAAAAGCACACAGCTAATGAAATCTTTTGTAATAAGTAGCAGCAAATTTTGGCCATTCGTTGGAATGAAAAACAAGGCCCAAGAGCCGTTTCTATAGCTGCTGTGCTTAGATGAGTTATCAACAGTGACTTTTCTGGGGATCAGAATGGAGTTATTAAAATGCCTCTTGCAGCAGGTTTCTTGTGAAATGGCAGAATCATACAAATTAGGGTATCATCAATTGGAGCAGACGTTTTTATAGGGCATCGTCAAACTAGGGAGCCATCGGGGAAATTTCCGTCTTTGTAACTGTGGAGGTTAGTGGAGGTGATGAATCAATGATGAACATGATTCGGCTTTCTAGTGATGTAAATTTAATATAGGTTTTGATTACTTAAACACAATTATGTGTTTTCAGACGCACAGCTGCCATGATATAAAATTCTGAAAATGGCTGCATGTTTCATTGGAGAGGATGTGGCAAAGACAGTGCTCCTGAATAGAGAGCTGTAGGTTGTTGTCTTGGGAAGCTATTGAGAAACCATGTTTAAACGTTTTGCTGCTTGAATGGTTTTCAGAGGTCATTTGATGGAATTAAACCCTAAGAACCCCTTCAGATCATGAAGTGCTACTGAAAACTGCTTGCCCAAGGAGGGCAGTTTAGCTAGAAACATTCAAGTTGTGTATCAGAGTGATTCCCCAAAGCCTCAGTCAAATGACTAGACTTTAGATAGTCTGATGTTTCCATTGGTTTGCATGGGCAAAGAGTTTACGTGGTACAAGGGTTTATAGCTGGGATGGGACAATAAGGCAGTATGTTGAACCTGTGTTTTTGACATAGATCTTCAAATCAGAGTTTAAAGTCATGAGTATGAGGGGGAAGAGGAAGGAAATTGTAATAATTTGAGTTTTAAAAATATTTATTCAGCATCACATTTCATTTATTATACTCTTAAAGCAGGGGGTAGAAAAATTAACATCTTGGTGTCACTGGAGAAAGTCCTATGGAATTTTTCTTTGGTGTTTACAGCTTTATTATTTTGTGAATAATATGAAGCTGTTTTTAATTAAAATAGGATTTTTTCCCCCTTCTACTCTTTGAACCATAAAGGAGAAGAGGTTAATCAAATCTACTAGCAGAGCCACAGTTTAGAATAATTAAATTATCCTTTGGATGTTTACCGTGGTTATTTTTATGAATTTTTCATGACTTCTCTAGGTAAAGCAAGTGCTTACGGAATGAGCAATGATCTTACCTCTTTAAAGGAACATGTATTTTACAGGTAGAACCTGATGAAGGGAGAAGGCTAGGGATGGAGTCTTGACAGTCTTGATACGAGTGAATGACAAAGTTAATCTAATTCTCAGTTTCAGAGTAAATACAGCTGAAACGTTCAGTTCTGAAAGCCGATCTGCAGAGGCCTGTTCCTTCATCTGTGGAGCTCCTCCACCTGCGTGGAATAGTATGTGGGACTGCAATTTTAAAGATGAACTTTTCTGTAAACGTGTGCCTACTTTGATGCTTTTTTTGAAGGGGGTAAGGGGCTAGGGAAGCTTTGTGGTCAAATAACTCCTTGATGACATTAAGTTTTAGAAGAGGATGTTTGAAGTGGGGGAAACATGAAAAGAGGTGCATTTCCAGTTGCATTGCAATGGGATCTTGCAGGTCTGAGAGATAAACGGGGCCCAAGAGCTCTCTAGGATACCTATTTAATAGGCAGAACATGCAGGAACCGTCCTTCCTACTGTTTTGCCAAAAGACCAAATCTAACAAAATTTACAAACCATTGTGTTGGTACTAGATATTGAAGTATTTGCTGGATTGTTGTTTGCAAGAGATGTTAATCGAGGTCCTGGCTATTTGAGGGAGTTAAAAATTGGTTTGCTCTCTTTGAAAATGTAAGTGTTCATCTAAGATTGCTGCCTTTAGTCTCCTTAAGTGCAGTCCTCCCATTTGGATGCTTCTTCCCTCTCTGGTTTTCGTTGTGTGGTATTAAGGATAATCTGCAACCCACCTACGAAGGGGCTGCAACGTAACGCCGGGAACTTGGCCTCTAAAAGGTTGTTTAGTCCAAGTTCAGCGCATCAAACTCATAACAACCAGGTTTTTTTTGTTTTTTTTTTTTTTAGAAACAATAATTTAAAACCTTTCTTCCTCTAGCATTTCCAGTGTCGTCTTTTCCACAGCTCTCATTCCAGAGAGCTCATTTTCGTTGTTTGTGCCTTGCATGCTGTGGCGTTTGGAGAATAACAAGTAGCATTAATGGGGTGGGTGGAGTGCGTATGCAATACACAGCACACAAAGTACTTTGCATGGAAGGTGTGCAAGAGATGAGAGCTCTGCACAGAGACGCGTGTGCATCCCCATGTAGCATTTAATAGCTGTTACGGTTTAGGTGCGTTCTAAACATCTCCTATACTATCATTGCTTTTTTATTTTTCCTTTTTTTCTTAATCAGAGAATTTTGGGTGTTTCTATCTAAGCTAACCCCTGAAGTAGACCGAATTACATGTTTAAATAGGCTTTCTTTATGACCTAATGAAATCCATCCTTATCTCTTTCTTACCTTACTGTGTTGCTTCTGCTATGGGTTGAAATGCATGTGAGCAGTGCATCTGATTTCAGCTAGGGATGCCACGTTTGGGATGATACTGATGGAAGGGAACTAAATCTCTACTAGGGAGATTGGTGCAAGCCTCCACCGAAACAAGCATTATCTGTTTATCATGATGGTATTTATAAACTGGCAGCTTAGGGACTCTTTGGAGCGTTGTTTCCTGTACTCCGGCGTTAACTATTGCAGTGCCAACGCTCTTCTGTTCTCGGTGTTAGGTATTTCGATCCCTGTAGGCCTTCTGACATGCCGTTTTTCATTTCTACCATGTCATTTAAATCCTTCCGGTGGATCATTTGACGTTTATTCAGGTTCTTGGATGACTTTATATGTTTTGATTTAAGATTAAAAAAAATAATAATACAAAAAACCTGTTGAGCAGTAGAAGCCATGCGAGTCATCAGTCATCCAGCAGCCCTCATCGGAGTTCAGTACCAGTGGGATGAAACACCCATTGGTTTTTGATTCCTGTGTTAGGAACTGGTCTGGTGGATGGCAGCACTTCAGCCACTGTCCACGTCCTGCTACGCCTGCTGTTAGCAAGCCACGTGACTGCAGATCTTCCAAGATGCTTTAGTTGGCTTTGCCTTGCAAGCATTTACTTCCCGATAATGTTTCAATACAGCTATTAAACGCTCTACCCAGTCTTTAACGTAGACATCCTTTTTCTGTTGCTGAGTGTTATCTGTAAATTAAGAAATGTTGATTAATGAACATACTTAAACATATTCCCTCTCGCCTTCCTATTTCTCATTGCCTAGCAACAGAATTTCTCCTTATGCAGTCCCAGTTATGCAGGAGGGCCCTATCCACAACATCCTTTCTACTTCTTCCAGCTTTTCCTTTCTAGAAGCCTCGCTAACAGATTTGAGTAACTCCATCAACCCCTTGACAGACGTAATAAAGCAAAATAGGATAACATCAAACAATCCTTCACTTTGACAGTGTAAACTTCGCCGAATTCATCAGAAGTCTGTTAAGCTCGATAGTGTTCATAATGAAAATTCCTGTTGTGTGAAGAATGCAGCAAAGAAAAACAGCTGGTTGAGAAATTCAGGGCTTTTAGCTCCGTTGATGTGCGTTCCGTGGATCTGTAGTGATATAATACCTTCACATTCATGGATGTCTAAATTGCAGCAGACTTCTTCAGTTTCCTAACTGATTTCTGAATCAGTCAAATTTTCAGGCTGTTGCATTTATGTAGGGAGAAAACTGCAAGCAAACAAAAACATCCACCTGCACCCAAAAATCTGAGTGCTGATAGTTTCCTTGTTTACTCCTTGGTCGCTCAAAGTAGCGGGAGTTAAGGGAAGGCACATGCGTTTATATCCTTTTCCTGCATGGTGTTAAGTGTTGTTTTTAATAATTTAAACCTTGGATTATGACTGTTTAAATGTATTGCAGTGCGAGAAACGAGCCTTCTGGAAATTAAGGAAGATACGGAACTGGATCCAGAGGAGAACAGCACTGTCTTCATGGGCATACTCATCAAAGGGCTGGCCAAACTGAAAAAAATCCCCGAAACCGTGAAAGCCATCCAGGATCGCCTAGAACAAGAACTCAAGCAGATTGTTAAGCGGTCCACAACTCAGGTGGCAGACAACGGTTACCAGAGAGGGGAGAATCTTTCGCAGGAAAATCAGCCTAGGTAAGGCTATCTCAACCACTGGAACCTGATTGCTGCAAAAGTAAGTCTGAGGGGAGGGTGTCATATCTGTTGATTGCCATTTAAAGGAGTGACAATAATCTTGCAATAGCAGAAATCTGAAATGGCAACATTTTCAGAAATGCCTGTGTCTCGTTGAAAGGCTGATGTTCCTTGAGCACCTGAAAGGCATGGGAATTGAGGAAGTGTATCCAGGAAGGGGAGGTATTGCTGCTTCTCAGCTAAGAATGTGGGAAAGGGAGATGTTTTCCGCTGTGCTTTGACCCTAGAAGAGAATCTGTTGTGTTTAAAACACTAATTGAAGGCGGAAGCGCGGAAGCAGCCAGCATACATTTACTAGTAAGAAGTACATAATGTTAAAGCACTTGATTGTTTTTAACCTAAACCTTTTGTTTTAAGCAGCTTTACAACAGATTGAATTGTAACACTGTCTCAAATTGCTGGTATGCATGGTGTAGAGAATGCTTGGTGCCAAAACAAAGACTCTCTGCCTTCTTGTGTTGCACTGAATCATGACTTTCCACTAGCGTTGATGCCAAAGGAATTTACAGTTCGTACGTAATGTGACTTGGAAAGAGAAGATTCAGCTCAGTTATTTATTTGAAGTGTAGCAGAGTCAAATTCCGCTAATGCAGGAGCAAAGCTTTGAAGTCATGTATGGAACTAATTGTATTGGTAAATATAGGGCTGAGCTTCTAATTGACTTGCAGCCCCATTTACATTAGTAGCAAGGTGGGGAAGCCCGAGAACCAAATTTCTGCTCTTTTTTTTTTTTTTTTTTTTTAATGAGAGCCTTCAGGAGTTGCTAGAACCGTTTTGTTGCAAATAAAACTCCATAAGGGTTAGCTGTCGCTTTTATCTGAAATCTTAATTTGTGATACTGCGTGTTGTGATGATCACTCTCCAAAAATTAATGGTGGAAAAGAACCCCAAACAAAACGGTGCTTCTTCACTCTACGTAATATTTGTAGTGGAAAATCTCTCTCAAAGAAAACTTTATCTTACTGAGGACTTCTTTTTTAATTCCTAGCATTGCTGTGGAAACAATCATGTGAAGAATTCAAAGAGTTATGGTACTGGTACCTCAGTGAAGTTACAGCAAGCTTTTTGAGAGTGTCTGAATGCAGAATTTTAATCTGTGATGCCAAGATGGTGCATAGCATATATTTGATACCTGTTTTACGAATCAATCTTGAGAGGCTGCATGATGCAGCGGCTTTTTTTGAAACTGATAAATTGGATCAGATCATATTTTAATGTTGATAGCCCGGTCGAGAGGGCTGGGTGAAGTAAAAAAGCCTGTAACAGGTTTTGACGCATGATTAATAGGACGAACGTGAGCCCTTAAGATGCTTATATAGGAAGTGTCTTGAATTCTTGTCAAGTAAGTAGATAATTAGAACTGTTTCTAAACTAAAACTGCATATGATGTTTGCAGTAAGCAGGCAAATTCATTTATATGGGAAAGAACAAATTACAGTATGGAAAGGTATACCGCCCCTTAAATTAGCTTCAGTTTTAAATCCCAACTAAGCGACTTTTTCCTAGTCTCAAAAACAAAACAAAAAAGAACAAGCGTCTGTTGTTTCAAGAGAACTCTGCGAGACCCCAAATTTGAGCCTGATGTAGCTCCTGAAACTGCTTAACTATTCGTTAGGCTGTCAGCCTCAATAGTTACTTGACCTCAGGATTTGGTGAGTAAACTGTTTTTCAGATCACCTTAAAACTAGTCACACATGAATGCCTCGGTCTCATTCGTATCAGTGAGCTCAGTGCCTGTACTCAGCTACTGTCCTTTAAAGGATATCCATAAAGATTTTCACTTCTGGCAAATGAAATAACTAATAAAAGCTGACAGAGAGGCCTAAAGGGCCTGGGGCTGTATATTGAAGCTTCTGCTGGACAGCTTCCACTCAGCTCATTAGGTGTGCACAGAACAAGTTATATGCATTCTTCTGTCCTGAGTGGTGGCTCTTGAAGGCTGACTTATGTTCTTCCCTTTGGTAAAGGGCGAAGCCTCACTCCCCTTGAGGGTGAGGCTGCTAACCTGCTTGTGGAGGTCCTGATGTGATTCCTTCCAGGAGCTCACAAAAACGAAGTAGAGCCCCCTCATCGTATGAGAGAGAACGTGGCCAGATGAGTTGCAGGTCTGATAATGACCATCTGGACTCTAAAGTGGTCACCCACTTGTGTGACCACCTTCTACGTTTGTATAGCAAGGCATTGTGATTTAATGCCCCCAAATTTCTAAGGCCCAAAGATACAGATCTAAAGTAACTAGTTCTCGGAGAGTAATATGTCTCATGCACAGTTCTGCCATGGGTCTGGATCCTGGATCCATGATCCTGGATCATTAGGTTCAGCACTGCTTTCCTTTAAAAGCAGCCTAGCTTCATAGATAGCTGATGTGAATTTGGAGAGGCTCATTTGCTGGATTGGACACCATGTAGAAGGCGATGGCACTAGCACACCTGAAAGACCTTAACGGAATGGCGAATTGCTGTTTTTCACCAATGGGGCCACAAAGGGAAGACTGGTATGGCACTGGTGATGCACCAGATTTTTAGGTTTTCTTTTCTATGGGGCATGGAAATGGGGGAACGCTCTCACAAAAGGTAGCCCCAGATGCTTGTAGCAGGAATGGCAGGGAGGCTGCAGCATAGATGCACCGATACATAAGGAAAAACCTCTTTCCTGTGAGGATGACTGGAACAGGTTGCCCGGAGAGGTTGTGGAGTCTCCATCCTTGGAGATATTCAAAAGCCGTCTGGAGACGATCCTGGGCAAAGCGCTCTAGATGACCCTGCTTGAGCAGAGGGGTTGGACAATCTCCAGAGGTGCCTTCCAACCTCAACCGTTCTGTGATTTTTGTGATACGGTATAGCTGCCTTAGAAGCAGCCTAACTGGGCACATGATGTTTGGCTGTAAGCGTAGTTTGCCGTGAATGTAAACCCTCCTGAATATGTGTGTTTGCCCCCATGAAAAGTGAATGACGTGAAGGATTAAAACCCAATAGAGAGTGGTAGCAGACTCCTAGCACTGGTGGAAGTGATTAAAACTTAAGGCTACAGTAGATTAGAAAATTATACTTGAATCCCACCAAGTTGCAATTGACCTTGGCTTTAATTGAAGTGTCCTTTTTTTTTTAAGAGTCAATTTAATGTATTTCAGAGCAATAGGTAAGTTTTCTAAAGTTTTTGGATATCTGTGCTTGGAACAACTTTGTGAAAAAAAGGCTTAAATGTAGGAATTGCCGTTGCCTTACCATTAATGAGTGGCTCATTAGGGCATGCATAGTATCCACATGTATAGAAATATTTATCTTGGGTTGTGGAGGACAAGATACGGTAGAGGAGGTCATATTTCATGGGTATATGTTAATGAATTTGAGGGCCACTTTTGAATTATGGAAAGTTACTGACTTGAGAAGATTAATAATCTAGAAGCACGTCTACGAAAGGGCCAAATTTAGGGGACAAGATTTTGGTTGGAATAACTTGTCTTAGCTTTATTTTAGTTGAAAATCTGGGCCATGAGGAGGCATGTTGACTATTTGTTACCAAATCCTGATGTTAGGATTTGATGCGTTTTTTCCCTACATGTTCCTAAGACCTTTACTTGCTTTTTACCAAATCTTGATTCTGTGAAATAAATATTAAAAAAAAATATATGTGCCAGCACCCCGACCCGGCAAAGGACATTATTGTTGCTAAAATTCATGAATTGTCATCAGCAACCTCATTCCGGTGTTGGCAGTCACTTTGCATCAAGATGTTCTCATTTACTGCCCGGACAACAGTGGTTGCTTCTGGGTGTGTGTCGCTATCTCTCGACGTAACCCCTTCGCCGCAAAATATGGTAAATATGAGACTGCTCTGACAAATTGCCTAAGCCAGTTTTCTGTCATTTTGTTTGTATGTTCTGCTTAGGTCACTTGGTGCTGCAACCCCATATGCATAAAATCTAGGCCATATTATTTTATGCTGCTTTGTCTTCTAGGCTGTCTGACACAGACCGTGTCTGTGTCTCTTTTTGGGTCACCTTGTTTCAAAAATGACCTGACAGATTTAGAAGACGTTTAGAGAAAAGGAAATTAAGAAAAGATGGGAGGCAGCGAGTGATTTTTAAAATGGGGAGAAGTGGAAAACGTTATCACTTTAGGATGGAGAATGTAATGTGATGGTAGTTAGCTGCAGGAAAGGACGTGTTTTGTCAGTCACTAACATGAGAATAGGAAAACACTGGAAACTGAGAACAAATAACTTTAACCTTTTTTTTTTTTTTTTTTTTTTTTTTTAAGTATACTAGTCTAGTAATGGCCTCATATAACATGAGTTGATAACATGCAATAAACTTACTTAGGAACAGTAAAAACTAATTCTCCAAAGTATCCAACTAGTTCAGTTTTGCAAAATTGTGCTTTCCTGGGATAAAGAAGAGGTAGACGGACAGCTAGATTTTCGTTAATAATATGGGATGTTAATAGAAATTGGGCCTGCGCTGATAAATTTCCTCAACAACATATATCTAATTTGATTGCATAAGACATGTTTATAATTAATGTTGTCTTTTGGTGGTCCATTCAAAGCTAGCTGTCAATTACTCAAACAGGAACTTAGTATTCTTTCCAAATTCTTGTACATCTGGTTTCCTTCCTTGGTTTTCTGGCTTCTGTCTGACTGCTTGTCCCAGCTTCCTCTCTACCTGTTCCTGTTACCTATTTTTAACAGTTCTATGCATCTCTTATAGGTTGTCAGAGCAATAGTCACCTCTCCCATATCCCGGAATAGGCTGGAGAGGTACTCACTTAACAGCAGTGGAACATGTTTCTCAGGCAGTCTTGTCTGCGTATTGGCCCGTCTCCTTCACTGGAAACGTTAGTCAACATGAGTGAAGGGACAACATTAATCAGGGAAGGGGGAAGATATGCAGCTCTTTCCATGGGAGTAGCTCCTTGGTTTGACTTTGAACAGGCAAGTTATTAGGATTTATTTTAAAGAAAATACCCTAAGCCAGAGAAAAATGGCTTTTCTTCCACAGCGGACTGCACATACTGAAGTTTAATACTGTTGATACTGATAATAGCTGTCTTTTCTGGTGCTATCTGTATCACCCTATTCTGTCCGCTTATGCTTTACCCTCTACCAGAGTCTTATTTAAATATGTAAAGACCTGTAGAAAGCAGTGTTTGCTTTCATAGTGCTGACAAGGCTTTTCTGTAGGCATCTGGTGCTGATCTGAAATATGGAGGAAATTGATTAAATACACTTGTTCCTTTCAGATTGCTTAAATGCATCTTTTAGTTCTGTAGCCACTTAAGATATAGCAATATTAATGTCTCTCCATACCTTATAACATGGGTATCATGATACCTTAACACATCTTTATTTTTAATATAACATGCATCTGATCGCTTGACCTGTTCTGCTGTGCCTGCTTCTGCCCTCCCAGACATGTGCAATGGCACTTCCGATTGAATCAAGGTGCTCTTCCACTTGGCTATTTGAGCTGTGTGGCTGCCTTGGTTGGTAGGTGAACGCTCCATGCGAGATCCCTGAAAGATTGCTGTATATGTGTATGTAAAACCCTGATATATGAATGAGGCACAATAAGCTGTTACGGTCCTTTTCTGAAAAAAGGACAGCTCTTGTCCTTTGCAGGGCAGAAGTTTGCTCTAGGATTGCTATGGGCTAAGGTAGGTTGGCACTTTTAGTTTTGGCTGCAACGTGATGCCGGTCTACTCTTGCTGTATGATGGCACCAGCAGCAAATGTGCAACAGCTTCTTAATTTTTCCAGATAGCTCTCCAGGGTCTAGCTTGAACAGCTGGTACCCCGCACCCTGAATTGAAGCGGCTGCAGGACGACTGCACACCTCATTAGTGATTTTAACTAATACAAAAGGCGGAAGTGTGGTGGTTGAGGAGTGGCCACAACTCTGCTTCTCCTCCAGGTTGTCCGTCCTGCCGTGGGATAGTAACCTCTGATGGGAAGACACAGCTGCACACTGCAGTTAAATGTGATAGAGCCTGTCTGTCAGAACTGGAGAGTGGCTAACATATGGGTTGGGGAAGCGTTATCTTCACGTTTTGCTGGGGTTGCATCGCTCAGTAAGCGGCAGTGAACTTAATCAGAATTCCCCTTTTTTCCAAATAATAAGATCAAATGTGATGAGTCATTGCCTTATCACAAAATATTTAGGACTTTGCAAAGGTACATTAGTTACAGTAATTCGGCAATAAAGCAGGTAATGTGATGTACGTTTTGATGAGGTTATAGCTGTAGCACCTTATTTGCAATAATAAAAACCTTGGTAATTGACACAGTTGATAAGCCTTTATGTTTTAGGTTTCTGATCTTTCATGATGTTTAAAACCTTCCATACTGCTCATTTCATAATCCAGAATTAATATCTTATACGTGATTTGTACATGTAAGTCAACAACACTCTTATTCTCTCCTGGGGAAAAGGCAGATAGTTTCCCTCCCCGTCTGTTGCTCTCGCTGGGAGCTTGGTATGCCCTCTAATATCATGATATAAAGGGCTGGGTAGTTGCTAATGCGTTTATCTTTCCTATCCTCCCAAGTAGAATGCACTGAAGATCAGAAACTCGAATATAGAAGAGAGCATGAAAAGGAAAAGCCCCAGAAATATTTGGGTGCCAAACTTGAGCTGGTTTCTGCTGAAAGTAGTCACCTAAAGGCCATAGACTTGCCTGGTTGTACCCAGCGTCTGTCACAAAACAGGATATGAAATCAAAATCTTCTGAACCCTGGCCCGCTGCTTTGACCTGCTACGTTACACTGTGTTTGCAATATCTTCTGATAACTGAGTGGAGGTTGTCTTGATGGTTTATAGGTTACTTCTGGAATTGCTAGAGCTTCTCTTTGACAAATTCAACGCTGTGGCTGCTGCTCACTCCATAGTCCTTGGGCACCTTCAGCAGACAGTTGCCTCTCCTTCCAGCCAGTATGACGGTGATATCAAGCTCTACGACATGGTTGATGTGTGGGTGAAGATCCAAGACGTCTTGCAGGTAAAGATCCTTGGGACAGCGTTTATAACCAGAATAGCAGAGAAAACAATGCTGTCGTTCTCAAGTGAGAGCTGTGCTGGAATTAGACTTTATTGATGGTAAGTGACCACATTTATTACAGACAGTTAAACTCCAGAGAGCTTAAATACCATGAATAAACTTTTCTGTGGTTTCATCCATATGGTGTACAGAAAGGTGGTTCCTGGTATCTACCAAGTGATTTATCGGAAGCTTTCAAACAATGACATTTTTGTTCTGTGTTACCATGGCATGCCTGTCTTATAAAGTGTCAGAGCTCTAATCGCTTGTTGTCTCCTGTCTTAGTTATAGTCAGCTGAGACACTCGCACTGAGGCTGCTGCCAGCGTGTTTTCGGGGAAGTCTTATTTGATTCTTCTTGTAAACTGCAACGTATTAAAGCTCTGCCTTGCTTAGGCCGTATTCTGATATCGCCTTAGTATCTGAGACTCGCAGTCAGCAGAGCTATCATCTGTCACATGTTCTGTTGTGGAGATGTGCACATTTGTGGTGTTGTGTTTTTTTTTTTTTTTAATTATGTTTGTATATAGTGCACAGATGTACATCTCGCCCATTATTTGATAGAGGAGGTCAAAGAAATGAGCTTGGCATTATTTACGAGAGGGGACAAGATTTATGATGGTCATTCCACCTCTGGCCTGTTCCTGAAAAATACGCTCTGGCTCCTACGCTAACACGCTTTTCCATTACACGGCACAGGTCTGTTTTGCTTTTTCTCTAAAGCCTTATTTGGCTGTGCAATGATGCACATGGGTTTTTTGCTTGCATGGATATGGCCCGCTGTGTGCATGCTGTATATTTAGATACTTCTTGGACACGGTAAATGTGACATGGTAAACGCGCCCTTTGAACTGGCCCACTGTCTCCTTACCCACACGTTTGTCTTGATAAGGGAGTTAGTGTTTTGTTACAGAAGCCTCATTAGTCTTCTCCTTGATATGAATTTTCAACTCCCTTCAGTATTGTTCTTGCAAAAAATTCGAGATTGGGACTATCCAGGCAGAAGTTAATGATGGGCTTTCTAAACAAAGCAATGTCTTAAAATTGAAGCTGACTGGCCCTGTTAAGGGGGAGAGTTGAACTTAAGGACATGAGGAAAGGGCTTGGCATAAGCTATCTGCTTCATGCTCCATGCTTGAGATCCAGAAAACCTTTAAGACCTTTGGGAGTTCAGCAAATCTTGCTCTAGGAGGACAAGGCCTGGAAGTAAGAAATCCACCAAGACATTATCTGCACTGAAGCAAAATCACAAGGCAACTAATTTCCCCTTATCAGCAACAGTTTGTGATGGTCTCACTCCTCGTGAGCGGTGAAGTCGGGAGTGAGTTAGGCTGGCTGTTCTGGACACTGATAAAACTTCTATGCAGAAGCACCTGTAGGTGTGCACATGTAGACAGTAAGCGTGCTTTCCGCATTAGGAAGAAAGTATTTGACCAAGTTTTTTACAAAAAAAACATACCAACAAAATGCAACAACCCACCTGTCTAAAGATTTCATGGCTTTTGGTCTGACAGCAAAGGTGTCAGAGTCGTAAAAGCTTCCAAAGAAAGAAGCACAGATAGCTTTTTCAGTGCACAAAAAGCAGCACTTCCAGCTCTATAATCTCATACTGCTTTAGGGTAAGGAGCTGAGCAGTGACTGCTATGGAAAGGAGACACTTTTCCCCTTCTCTGTTCAAAATCTTGTGGGTTTTTTATTTTAGTTTCATAAGAATTGATTTAAAAATTCTGACTTTGCAGAATAGGAAAACCTTGGAGCCCAGGGCTAAATTATTTTTGTCCTATTTCTTGAATAAGAATAATTTTTTTGAGGGGGGATCTTACATATGTGGCAAGGGGAGCAGAAACTCAGTTTTAAGGGTTTTTTTTTTTTTTTTTTAAAACGTGCCTGAGGGGAAGATGAAATTTCTGAGGAAGTGGGCTAATGGCAGACTGCATCAGAGATTGATGCAATGTATGCAGATCATAAAGAATGCAATTTATTCGTGCTGCTGCAACGTCTTGTGACTCTACAATTTGTCTGGATAAGCTCTTCCACATGTATGTTGTGCAGTTCTGCATGTGTAATATGTTATAGCAAAGTTTATTTCTTTATACTTTCATACATAAGTAATAATGTGCACTCGTGGTGGGTTGTAGATTGTCCTTTTTGGAAAAAGTGAGAAGGTTCCTTGGAGTAGCCTTTTTTTCCTGGATACGTGAATGTTTCCTAATAACAGCACGAAGCACTATGATATAATATTAGATAGGTGGCACGAAGATGTGCGATGTTAAGGTATTGAACATTCAGATATATTATGTTTTGACCTTCTCTGAGCCTGCAAGAAAAGTACTGAACTCATCAGAAGAAAAGCAGTGACATTTTGGAGTTGGGTGCCAGAGGAGTTGGGTGCCAGAGTGCTAGAGAAAAACAGAAATAATCAGTTTGTCAAAATACTAGAGCGGTCTTGTTCAGTAAGACACAGTTTGCAGTTTGTACCAGAGCCAGCATGTCCTATAGTTGTATTGCCATACCGACAGGACAGAGCTGAAATTTGTTTAAATTTTGACTTGGCGTTTTATATCTGGAACTAATTTAGTTCTTCAGTGTAGCAGTGGGTGGAACGTCCTTCCGAGGAGCGTAATCGCGACAGATTCCCGTGCTCGGTGGGAAGCACTGCGAGCTGTAGTGTAACTGCAGTTGGTGAGTAGTTGGCTCAGGACAAGAGCAATGGAGTTCTGAGATCTGCTGGCACAATTTAATGTATATGCTGCATCCTCCTATCCAGAATGACCAAGTGCTGGCATTTAGGCTATGTTGTGTAAAGGGCAGAGTGGTATACACTTGGGTACAAAGCAAAAGGTTTTAGGTGCAGCGTAGCCTTTCTGTATAGTTTCACTTTTTCCGTTTAGTGCAAAACTCTCTTAGCTGAGATAAGAGCTCTTCTGTCGTGTTGTATTAGTGTCAGGGGACTGACAGCTGGGTGACGTGCTCTAGCAGTAACTGATGCTTGGTGTGACGGTTCTTCCTTGGTGTTATCTGTAGCACAAAACTTTTAACAGTTCATTCACCTTGTTTTAGCACTGTTTTTGGATACCACGATGAGAGAGCGAGGCATCTGTCCCTGCTGAATAACACCAGCATTCACTCGACTCCTTCAGAAATGTCGTGTTCCCAGTGATGGGATGATCGCCCTGTCAGCCGCGTGGTATCAGTGTGCAATACCCTGCTGCCGGAAAAGTTACCAAAGAAACATGACGCCTCCATGCGTAGGTGGTCCGTGTGGTTGTCTCTTGGATTCGGTATCCCGTTATCAGTGTCGGGTGGTACTGTGTGCCTCCAAGGAAGAGATCTTTGTTCCCTTTTGTAGTAGTAATATTTGTAGCAAATGGATCTCAACTTTTGAAGAAGGTGGCCTGTATCTGTTTTCTTGCTCCTCCAGAAGAAGAAAGGCACGTACGTGTCCCGGGACATCTATCACATCTTTAGTACCACCAGGGAACAGAGCACAAGCGTTCAGGCTGTCTGAGAGTCCATCTACTGAGAAAACACTGTTGATCGCTACTTTCCTTTCATGGGGTCTTCTTTTTAATGCTTTGAGGCATTTTCCAAAAATGGGGTATTTTAGCAGCCTAAGCATTGCTGAAACACCTTAAGGATAAGGAAACTGGGGCTAAGGGAAATTGAAGCCTGCTCTGCCCGCTCTCTGCAGGTCCATTACTGCAGAGCTGGAGAGAGCAGAAAGCATTGGTTGAGGAAGCCTCTGCGTACAACGCTGCTGTGTCCTCGAGGCAGTGAGACATTTCTTTCCTCGTAGGGAGGAACGGGATACGAGTTTGTGATTCAGGCAGGGAGATGGAGCAGTCCTGCAATATCCGACTAGGTCTGGTGGCCAGCAATGTGAGCGAGCTCACTGAAGAGCTGCACTTAAATCGTATTTGCGATGCAGTACATCTCAGGGAGTAGTGCTAGAGCGCTTGTGGGAATATCCCATGGCGCTGCTGCAATAAGCTAAGCCCTGTCTGACTTTCTGAGTGAGTTTCAGGAGAAGTTATCGGTCCTCTTAGGGGCACAAGGTCGCAGGGGAAAGGCAGAGGCGTTCAGCAGACAATTTAACCCACTTAAATCCTCATGGAAAAGATGTAGAGGGTTCATTTGCATGGCAGAGCGATGTCAGCTGTGCTGTGATCCCATTTCTTCCTTCTCCGTCTAGGGTGCCTCCCTTGCTCTGGCAGTGTTGCTCAAGCTGCCAAGCAATAAATTAATTTGAGGGAGGTGATTTGGCCAAAAAACGTTTGTGTTTTGTGCTGGCTGGGTTTTCTGCTTGCTCAGGTCCCTGAACTGGGCTGTTTCAGTGCTGACACAAGGGCGAGAGACGGGGAAGGCACCGCAAAGAACGAAGGTACCCGCTCATGCAAAGGCGACAGTTGGGCTTTGCTTTTACCCCAGGTGGCTCAGTACTGATCTGACAGCATTGCAAAATCGTTAGCAAAATGGATTTTGATGTTAAGAGCAGGAGCTTAGGAATGCTGTGCAATCACGAGCACTGAAGAGCTCTGCAGTCATCGTGCTGCTTCTGACTCTTCAGATAAACGTGTGTGTGTGTCCTGGGACAGGTAACCAAATCTCTCTTTGCCGAGGCTTCCTATTCAAAAGATGAATGAACCGTTGTGTGACACCGTTACTATTTGTAAAGCAGAATAAGATTCTTGGATGCGAGACGTTAGCGTTAATGTACCATAAATACTGGTTGAAGTGTCACTGCAGTATGTGAAATTGCTGTAGCATTTGGGAAGCTCGCCGAGTAATATTTTGAACGAAGGTAGCACTATTTTTCAGAAAGTCGCTTTACAGAAATTAATGGTTTTGTGGTTGCCCTCAAAATAAAAGAACGTGTCTGACAGGTCTCTCTGGTTCCTGTGAAACGGTCTTAAACATGTGGAACTGGAGCCCTTGGGACTGTGGCTGGTTCGTCTCGTTAAT